TTCCCTACAGATTTGCAATGCTCATTGCATCACATAGTCAGTATTAAATATGTGTGGATCTGCTTCTGGATTGTCTAATTAATTTTATTGGTCTATCTAGCCTTTAAGTCAATAGTCTACTGGGCTGATTAGTATAGCTTTGTATTAACTGGTTGAACACCTCCTATTACTGGCCCACCAGCTTTTCTTCTCTATCTTCTGCTTTTCTTTCTCTTCTCCCCCTTTCTCTCTTTCCAGCCCCTTTTCCTGTCCCTCTTTCTCGTGAGTCTTGACTTTTTAAAAATAAAAACACCTATGTACACATGTGAGAGAGAAGAACATAGAGATAGAAAGAGAAAAAAGACACCATGATTCCCTTTCTCCAACCCTTTACCTCCTTGGGATCCTGGACATCCATGTGTATGTCTGGTGTGTTTCAGACCCAGGGACCAGAACCTGTAGTTGGCCGTGTGGCTTCCAGTCTTGCAAAGCACCGACTAACTGCTGATCTAGTGGCCAGGCCTGTCTTGACTATTATTGGCTCTTTGCTCTTAATTCTAATATCAAGTCTTTCTAATAATAGACATTGAATATCTCTCCATTTATGTAAGTATTCTTTATTGTTTTTAAATAAAGTTTTATATTTTTCTTCATGAAGTCATTTCAATCTTTGAACTACATAACTTTCTGCTGCTACAGTAAATATTTAATACATCTTGCTTTGTTTCTTTTGGGGTTTCTACATAGCTAATCATATTATTGTCTGGAATAATAATAATTTTGTTGCTTCCTTTTCAGCCTTACACATTTTGTCTTTTTAAAAATATTTATCTTACTGTGTCGGCTAGGATTTCTAGTACAATGATAGATAAATGGGAGAGTGGGAAGCCACTTCAGTCTCATTTTAAATAGAAGGCTTTTAAAATATCATCATAAAATGTGATAATTATGGTAGTTTTGGATACACATTCTTCAGTTAGTGAAGTTTCCTATTTCTGGGTTGTTGCGATTTTGGGAATATTAAATATTATAAAGCATTTTTCCTGAATCTGTTGCATATATTGTATGTTCTTCTATATTCCATGAAGGTAGTGAATTATTATGGAAATATAAAATTATAAGCCCTATATTACCTAATTCAGTTTTGGCTAGAACATGCATCAAAAAAGGATGCTTTGATCCAGTTATCAGTGGAATGGAATCTCTTTTTTTAGAGAGATTTTTGCCATTGGGCATGTACACTCTCCAGAGAGACAGACAGAGAGACAGAAAGGGAGAAATCACCCCCTGGGGGGATGGCCATGCCACAACCCCTTCTTCATTCTCCTCTTGGGATTTTGGGCATGTACGTACATGCACCTGGTGTGAGTTTCAAGCCACCGGGCCTGGGACTTGAACCACAGTCGACTATGTGGGAGTCCAGTGACATAACCATTACACCATCTGCTGGCCCCATCTCTGTGGAGTCTCTGACCGGTCATTACTCCAGTTTCTTTACATGGTATTGGAAACATTCCAAGGTGAAGATGGAAGGTGCAGGGATGCTTGGGCTTGGCCTCCAGAACCACATGATGTCACTTTCACCAGATTCTGTTGGTCCCAGCAAATCACCATGCCATGCCAGCTTCTGTAATGGGGAACAGACCCCACCCTTGCTGGGGAGGAGCTGTGACAACTATTTTCTCTCCTACTCCAGTAGATTTTAATGAAGAATCTTGAATGTATGGGCATTGGCTGCCTAAGATTTTGAAGATAAGCATTCTGGGAGCCATGGTACCTGGGCACTTAACAGTTACCAGGAATTTTGAGATAAAGCTATATTTGTTCTATATCTAGTATGTGTGTCCATGCATGTCTAATTACTCAGAAAAACAAAGACATTTCCCAAAATATAGAAGGGTTTTGCTATGGTTTGAATGTCTCCTCCAAAACTCAAGTTGAAATTTAATTGTCATTGTAACAGTGTTAAGAGGTAGGACTGGGTCAGCAGTTCGAGTCCCAGACCCAGCAGCTTGAAAATCATGCAAGGACATGTGTGAACATGTCTGAAATCCTGAGAGAAGACTGAAAGAGAAGGAATTGTAGTGTGGCCATTCCCTCGGGAGGTGATTTCTCACATTCCTTTTCTCTCTTTCTGTCAAGTGCATATGCCCTATGACAAAAACCTTAGAAAAAAGAAAAAGAGGTAGGACCTCTGAGGGGTGATCAGGCCATGAGAGCTCCACCCTCTTGGGTGGGATTGATACCATCATAAAAGATGAATTGGGCCACCTTTTGCCTCTTTGCCCTCTGCCCTCCGCTATGTGTGGATGCAGCATTAAAGGTACCATCTTGGAATTAGAATCACCAAACCTGCCAGCAGCTGGATCTCGAACTTCCAGCATCCATTCATTTCCATTTGCTATGCATTCCTCAGCCTGTGGTATTCCAACAGCAAAAGTGGGTGAAGAAAGATTTGTTCAGTGTTTCTAAGGACTTGGGAAAGCAGCCTCAAGATTGGAATGTATTTGTTGTAGGAAGCTACATTTGTACAACACTACAGGAAAATGGATTTCTTCACTTCTCATTGTAAGCCATAGTCGTGCTAGTGGTTGGTGACACAGTGAGTCCCTCGACCTAAGTGGTTGGGCCTAATGAATGCATCCTTGTTAGCGAAGGTGTCCCATCCACATAGCAGTGAGGAGGACGCAGACAAGCTTTGGGCAGTATGCCCTGGAGGGGATGAGTTTTGCCAGCAGTCTTGTTCCCCAAGGCTAGAGGCCTTGCAGAGTTCCTAATATCCACAGGGGTCTCTACTGTGACTCCCCAGTTTGTGCCCTATGTTTGTATGGTCATTGAAGTGGAATGCCCCCTCCATCTTGGGGATCACTGAATGCCCCCACCTTGCTGTGCATATTGGTCTCCATTCACCAGTCACTGTGTTTGGTGGCCTTGAAAGCTTAGGATTCTCCGTCACTTTGCTGAGCAGTAAACTCATAGTAATTTATAGTGGAGAGACTTGGGAGTATCTACTTCAGTGTATTTCCAGAAACAAATTTGCTCACTGACTTTTCAGCTCTCTCTAGCAGGTTCTTACCCCACTCGCCTTGTCAGGGTCACCCATAACCTTGGTACTGTGTACTCGGACAGACACTCCGTCCTCCCTTCACCTCGTCACCACGACTCTCAGCTCCCGGCTCCCAGCACCACCCACTGCAGACTCTCACTGCAGGCTCCCTCCTCTTCTGGCCCTGATCCATCACCCCACAGGCTTCTTCCTATCTTCCTGGGCTGCTCTTCCTCCTGCTCCCTTCGCTGGTTCCTCCTAGGGAGCCTAGTGTGGTGGCAGGCTAGGAGTACCCCAGGGAGGCATCCCAGCTCCCCAAACCTCCTTGTACCCTCTGCAAGCAGTGTGCATGTGGGGATGGTGGCTGTCATGCCCACCTTCTGAGAGCCGCCATGCAGATTCAATGAGAATGGTTATCGCATGCTTAAAATGGGGCCCACCCACTAAGTGTTCAGTAAATGGCAGCAGGCCTGCCATGCCCCTTTCTCAGATGTCTGTCTGCCACTGGGGTTTCTCAACCCTGGGCTCCCTCCAGCTAGAACTTGGACTTCAAATCCCTGCTTTGTGCCAGTGATTCTTCAACCCGGACCCTCGTTCCTCTGCCTAGGGACACTAAACCCTTGGTGGGTGACACATTTCAAGGGCTCGGTATGCGTTTTCACCAAATCCACGCAGCAGTCCTCAGAGGTGGACACAGCTGACACAGAGCTGCCCCACAGTGGCCAAGGGTGCACAGGAATTGGTGACAGGCTGGGATGCGGCCCTAGGGTTCGCAAACTGGGGTGTCCAAAATGTCAGACACTCTCTTTATCCGATCTGCTCCTCTCCCCTCTGCAGTCCAGTTGTTCTAGGCGGACTCTTAAAATCATTCTTTTTTTTTTCTTTTGAATTATTTTACTTTTATTCATTGTCATTATTAGAGACCATCACGTCTCTCCGCTCCCCCCTGACCTGCGCCTCTATTCTCTCCTGCCTGCACCATCGCCACTGCCTCTCGGCCTGGACAAGCCCCCCAGCAGCTTCTGTCCTCACTTTGGCTGCTCCCACACGTTCTCCACACCGCAGACAGGAAATTTTAAAAATGCAACTCAGAGCACTCTGTGGTTTAAACCCTACAGTTTAAAACCGTTCAGTGCACCTCCCTGTGCTGAGGGTAAAATCCTAAGTCTCCTAGAGGCCAGTGGGTCTAGCCCAAGTCTGCCGTCCTCAGTGCTCCCCTCTTCCCTCTCCCTTTCCTCTGTCACCTATTCGGTGACACAGACATGTCAAGCTCTTTCTTCCTAGGTCCCTGGCATTATTTGCCTTCTACTGCCTGAAATCCTTCAGTCTCAGTTCAAATGACACCTCCTCTGAGAAGCCTTCCCTGATCATCTGGCTGGAGCTGTACCTAGTATGTTCCTTTTTTTAAAAAATAATCATTTAACTTTATTTATCTATTTGACCAGAGAGGGAGAGAGTGAGAGGGCGAGGGAGAAAGTGAGAAAACAAGCCACCAGGTCTGGGACTTGAACCGTGATCTGCCATGTGGGAGTCCAGCCCCACCACCCCCCCTGCTGGCTCCTTTTTTTTTTTTTTTTAAAGAGGTTTTTTGCCTTAGGGGGTGTGTATTTGCTGGGGGGAGAGAGAGACAGAGACAGTGAGAGGGAAAGTGCGAAATCTCCCCCTAGAGGGGATGGCCACACTGCAATCCCTTCTCCATTCTCCTCCTGGATCTGGGTTCGGAACTGGAACCAAGGTCACCCCTATGGGAGACCAGCGATGTTACCTCTATGCCATCTGCTGGCCTCTACCTCCTATTTTTCAAAGCACAGATTTTGTTTGCTTCTGGGGTGCTCCGTAGGGAAGAGGTCTGTCTGTCTTTTCACTGTGGTGTCCTTACCTTTACCATGGCAGGACTAAGCCACACTGTGAAAGAATGGCAAGGCTGACTCTTGTCCTACTCTTAAGGGGACATGACGGTGTTGTCTTACCTTGGGGTCTGGTGCCCATCCGGTGGGACTCAAGAGCCTGGCTGCAGGCTGCCAGGCAGTCCTCATACCTGCCACAGAGAAGCAGAGCTTCGGGGGTCAGGGCATCACTCCAGGTACCCCCTGGGTCCAGAGCTACCAGAAGTCGCTGGCATTGGGTTTCCTGCTGGCCAGTGCTGTCTGGGTGCCCCGGGGTCCCTGAGATGTAGTTCTGGAGGGTGCTCAGCAGCATGGGGAGGTAGGGCTGCTGGTGGGTGCGGATGAAGGCCACCGTCCGGTCTGCGCTGGAGGCAAAGGCCTGCAGGTAGTCGGCCATGCCGTCGCCCGCCTGTGCCCCGGACAGGACCCAGGCCAGGGCGCGGGTCAGCCGCAGCTCCAGGGCTTGCTGGGAGTGGGCATCCAGCAGAGCTCCGCAGCGCTGCACCACCTCACCATGGCGCCCGCGTGCCAGGAGGCCCGCCAGCAAGTGCAGGACCGCGGCCGGGTGGTCAGGGCAAACCGCGCCGAGGAAGGCGGAGGCCAGGGTCCCCGTCAGGGAGACCACCGCCATGCCGTCCCAGTGGATTGCGGGGATCTGGCTGTCCCCGCGGCACCAGGCCTCCAAGGTGGCCACCACAGGTGTCCCCCGCGCCTCGGCCAGGGCAGTGCGCACGCTCCGCACGGCCGTGGGGGCGTGGCAGCTGAACGCAGCCAGGTAGAAGGCGGTGGCCTGCTCGGGCTCCCCCAGGTCTAGGTGCTGGTCCCCCTGCCTGCAGAGGCAGGGCACGAGCTCCTGGGCCGACATCACTCTCGCGGTCCCGATGGGCCCATGTCCATCGTCAGAAGCACCTAGGCGAAGGTGGGGGGAAAGGTGGAGCTCGATCAGAACGCCTTGCGGCCACCAGATCCCAGCCCTAGGTAGCTCCCGCCCCTACCCACTGAGACTCCAGGATCAGTGCAGACGCCGCCTAGTGGGGACTAGGGGAACCAGCACTGGTAGTGCTTCCTCCGCGGGTCTCCACGAGGTTGGGAGTGGAGCCACGGGGTTATCAGGTAGGCTCCCAACCAACATTAACCTCGCTGGCCTTGGCTTCCTCTCTGCCCAGCTCGCTAAGAACGCTTGGTCCCTGAGTGCCCACAGAACAGGGTATGGGGGGCCTGGGCGCGCCACTCCTGCCCCTCCAGCGCAGGTCTTCCCAGAAAGGCGGAAAGCCAGTCCCGGCCCCCACAGCACGGGCAGGCTTCCCAGGGGCCCGATCCAGAGCTACACCTGCCCACCCTCTCACACCCGGGCAATGCAGGTCTGGGATGGGGTGCTCCTGCCTGGCTCTCAGGGGTGGAGGTGGGCAGCCACGCTGGCTCAAGGGGCAGGGAAAGCTCAATACTGAGTTCGCAGTTCCAGGGACCAGCCCTGCAACTCTCCTCTTCCCCCTCCCCAAACCTTTTGAGTTGAAAAAGTATTCAGGATCCTTTCTTCCTGGTCCCAAAGTGCCTGCAAACAAGCACCCCAGCCCCCTGCAACATACTGTCTCTGACACACATGTGCACACATGAACACACTCAGACATACTCACTCTCTCCTGTGGCTCCAAGGCTGTGCCTGCATACTCTAGGGCGAAGCCCTGGGCCTGGACGGAGGCGTAGTGGGCTCTGCTGGACCAGCTGGGATCCTTAGAGACCTCCCACCCACCTGTGTTGCAGGTGCCCAGACGGGAGCGCAGCCACTGCGGTTTCCCGGGAGAGCATCAACACCATCCAGCTGCCTGGTGCTCAGCTGCGCCCCCAGAGGCCCTAGGCTTCCTGGCGGAGGACCCCACCCACGCACCCCTCCCTCCGCAGGGGGAGGGGAGGGGTAAAGTCCAGTCCCGCGAGGTCAGTCTCCTAGGGGCAGAGCCCCAGAGCTAATGGGTTTCTCAGAGTATGGGGGCTTCTGGGCGGCAGGATAGAGCTGTCCTACTCCCTCTGGCTAATCCTCATCCCTGCTCATTCAGGCTCAATATTTGTAATCCAGAACTCTGCCCTTCACTACTCAGCCTGTGCCCTCTTCCTGCAGTCCCCTGCCCTGCAACCCTGGTACCATGGGTCCTGGTCCCCTCAGGCTGTTTCTTGCAGGGGGCAGGTGAGACTGGACCCCCACACCTATGGCCCCGATTCCCTCTCGTCTCCCCACCTCTGGCCCTGGCAGCATTCTCCTGAGCAGAGTCTGCTCTACTCTTTGGTTGAGGCCAGAGGATGTCTCTAAGGAGCAGAGAAATGAGCTTGCTGGACCAGGGATGTTAGTCTGTAGTGGCTGGGGAGAGAGAGAGAGAGCCAGCAGTGGGCCACTGGTGGCTGGTGGTTTAAGTGGCTGGATCCCATATGGCCAACTGCACAGTTTGAGTCCCTGATCAGTGACTTGCAAAACATGCTGGGCACTGCATGAATACCCAACGCCCCGTAAGGAGGGAGAGATGGAGGAGAAGGGATTGCAGTGTGACAATGCCCTATGAGGGGAGCTTTCTCCTTTTCTCTCTCTCTGGTGAGCACACACACCCTTTGGCAACATTTAAAAAGGGCACCAGCTCTATGTTAGAGATCTCCCACTCCTACTGCACTATTTAAAGAGCAAGTTAGGGGTGGCAGGCTTGTGTCTGGGAAGTTGAGACCCTCAGCATAGACAGCCACCCTGGGACGGCACTGGGGAGATTAGGTCAGCAGTGTGTCCCTGGTCAGAGGGCCCTGCCATTCCCTACTCAAGATGGCGAACCACAGCTTCTTGGAGGGGCTACGGAAACCAGGTGTAGTGCCTGCTGCAGGTGAAGGCCCTGGGAATAGGAGCACTGCATGTCTGATGTCCTTGGTGGCGGGGCCACAGCCCAGAGGCTGGCCTGTTGGGAAAGATGCTGGGCCCTTGGAGGGTGAAGAGTCTAGGTGGAGGTCTGAAGGTACAGGGCAGGTGTGGTCTTTCTGTCCAGTCCCTGGCCCCATTCTTTAGCTCCTTGACATTCACAAAGGCACAGGACCTGTGCAATGAATGCAGTGGTGACAGTTTATTAAGAGATTTCCCATTACTTTGCTTTGATTACTTTCATTTTAATTACCCTAATTAGGTGGGAGCAGTAATGGAACAGGCTGTCACATGGGGCTGCGAGGAGGGCCTGGGGCGCAGAGGTGGCAGGTCTGTGTGGCGGCGATCACATTAGCCCTGATCAGCCCCCTGAGTCTCTGCCTCCGTGCCTGAGGACCTGCAAGCGCCGGCTGGACTAGCTTGGTAGTCTCAGTGTCCCGTCCCGCCCGTGATCACAGCCCCCGCCTAAGAGCAGCACCGAGATGTAGATAACCCCGAAGGACCCACTCTGTGCCTCTCTCACACCGTGCCCTGATTTCCTGTTCCAACACAGGCAGAAACTAGCAGCCGGTGCGCCAGCAGGTGGCTCGGAGGTTAAGGTGCTGGATCCCACATGACCCACTGTGCAATTTGAGTCCTGGACCCAGTGACTTGAGAACCACCTTGGGTCTCTGTGTGTACCCAAAATCCCAAGAGGAGAATGGAGGAAAAGGGAGTGAGGCATGGCCGTTTCCCCCCTACGCCTGGGGGGTGATTTCTCACTTTCTCTCTCTCTCTCTGGTGCGCACACACACCTTACAATAAAAACTAAAAACTAAAATAAAAATAAATGAAATAAAATAAAATAAAATGAAACTAGCAGCTGTTAGGCTAAGACCTGTGGCTGGAGTGAGGCGAGGTGGAGTGTCTGGATCCAGATTCATGTTACAGTCGAAAGGATTTCTGCCTTGCCGACTGGGTCTAGCTAGAAGTGACTTCGATCATTTGCCCTTTGCATCCAAAGCTTTGGGAGGAAATGAGGCTTTGCAGGGATGCAAGCATTAGGCTCAGGTGAACACACTTCTGTGATACCCGCAGTGCCAGGCACTGAGCAGTAGTCAACCCAACCTGAAAAGACCGTTTGTCATTATATCCCCTGAAGTGCTCCTGGCACCTGGGGCCGTTTCTGCCCTAGTGTGTGTGGTCAGACCTGGTTGGGCGAAGGAGGAGCAGGATGCCACCCTCAGCCCCGGCAGTGACTCCCTGCACTCGGGCTGCCCCAGGAACATGAGCTCCTCTGCTCATCTTGGTCCCCTGCCCACGACACTCTCAGGAGGGCTGTCAGCTGGCAGGGTTGGCCCTCAGCACGCCCTGACCATGGGCTAAAGACTCCACCAACTGGGAGGAGTTTCTGGAAGTAGGAGGGTAGTGGTGGCCCTGTGCTCACCATGCATTTTGTGGCTGCCCTGTGGGCAGGGGATCAGGTTCTCTGGGCCTGTCTGGAGCTCACTCTCTGCTCCCCAGAGCAAGCTTGGGGTGACTATTTTGTAAGTGAATTTTTTTTTGGAGAGGTTTTTCCCTATAGGGCACGTGCGCTCGCCACACAGACAGAGAGAGACAGAGAGACAGAAAGCGAGAAATCACCCCCTACGGGGGATGGCCACGCTGCAATCCCTTCTCCTCCATTCTCCTCTTGGGAACTTGGGCACGCACACACACGCGCCCAGCGTGAGTTTTAAGCCACCGGGTCCGGGACGCGAACCGCGGTCGACTACGTAGGAGTCCAGCGACATAGCCATTACGCTAACTGCTGGTCCCTGTAAGTGAATTTTTACAAGCCTCTTGCCTGGGCCTCTGAGTACTGTCCTGAGAGGAATGGGCCTAGAGAAGTCCAGGGCCTCACCGTCCTTATGACGATAGTTGCATTTCACTCTCAGCGGCCAGCAGGCACTCATGCCCTCCCCCCTGGTCTCCAGATACCTAGTATCTCTGAAGGTCAGACCCAATCCCAGTGCTGGGCCCAGCAACTAGGAAGTGGGCCCTGGACCTCCTCCCACTTCTGCCAAGACCCATCCCCTACCCCACAGTGCCTGCTGTGGCCCCACAAGGACTGGTAGCTCAGAGGCTGCTCCTCCTCCACCAGGTGGGAGGTCTGGGTTCCTCCTGCCACCATAGGCTGTCCTCACTGCAAGGCTTCAGAGGTGGAAGGCTGGGCCTTGTCCTTCTGACCCCTCACATGGAGCTGGAGGGAGGGGAGGTCTCACACAGCCCCAGGCCCCTGAGCCACGGGGAACAGGCCTGAGCTTCTCTGCAACCGTGGCTTTCTCCTTTGGGCTACCCTCACCCCAGCAGGTGCTTACCTGGGAAGGCAGTCTCGTTTGTCTAAGACAACCTTAATGAGAAAGGGAAGCCCTTAGCACCAGTCTGTGACTGCATCCAGGTCTCTGAAAAGAGTGACTTTGGGCCTCCCAGAGTGTTCCCCCCTTCCTCTGCTAACCCAGGGGCCAGGTTCCCCTCTGGTCATTTCTCTGGACTCAACTGCCGGTCAAACCCACCTGAGGGGCACTTCCATCTCATGCATCCCCAGGTGCTCTCTGAGAGTGAGCCCACCCGGAGCCCTCACTGGCTGCCAGCACTCAGGATGCTCCCCTCAGCCCGGTGCAGCCCCTCAGTCCCGAGAGGTTTACCTGGGGCAGAGCCAGAGGACTTGGCTGTCACCAGTGAAATTTCAGCCTGTGTCTCTGCCGCCACACAAGCAGGAATTGCAGGCAGGTCCCCGGGACAAGGAAGAGTTCAGTCCTCTGGAGCTGGTGCCTAAAGGTAGGAGGAGCCCTCTCCTCTCAATGCCCCACCTTCTTGCCCGGCTTGGACCCCCTCCCTCCCTGGGCAGGATGAGCTTCTTGCAGGCCTGGCAGCTGGTGGGGCCCACATCTGCCATGACGCTGTCTCCTCTTATCCTGGGGCTCCTGTTCCACCCCTTGATCAATAATGCAGGGTAGGGGTGTCCTCCCACTGCTCCTTCGTACACACCTGCTGCTTCTGGCACATTTAATCTCAATTACAGGGGTGGTTTTCGAGAGCCACCGTCTGCATTGCAGATGCTCCTGTGGGCGAGGCAGAGGCTTAGGTGCTGTGAAGGAAGAGCAGTTTTGCAATATTTATGTCCTGGCACCCATGGAGGCTGCTCGTCCGAGCAGAGAGGCTGCTGGAGCTTCCCTGGACCAATAGCTCAACTGTGGACTTGAGGGTGTGGTTCAGGGGGAGTGACTTTCCATGGCTGGTCTGCTCCAGGGGCTCCGTGCTCTAGGTTAGGAGATTTTTCAAGTGGGCTACAACGAGTTTCCGAGGCCAAGGCAGTAGATCCAGGCCCACAGGATATTCAGCCCTGTAATATCCCACCTTGCATGTTGAGTATCTGGCTACCTGGCTATACGGGATGGGCCAGAGTAAGGGGTTATACCTCAGGGGTGCCTTCATGCTCTCACTTCCCTCACACCCTCATCTGGCCCACCAGCAGGGACCCCTGAATCTGCCATCGAACCATATCACAAACACAATCGCTGCCACTTGGCCCCCGTGCAGTGCCCGACCCCCACCCCATTCCCCTAACGCTCCTCCCCAGGGTCCTTGAACCATTGGTCTCTTTCCCGCACGTCTGCCTGGCTCCCCCTTGCTTTTCTTAGGTCCTGACTCAATCATCCCTCCTTAGACAGACTTTGGCTAACTCCCAGTCTAAATAGTCCCGTGTTCCTCTGTGTCACTACCTACTTCGCAGTGTCGCCTCCACGAGGGCGGGGTTGGGCTGCGATCACCCAGCCAGTGCCTGGCACATAGGAGATGAATAGTGAATGCATGAAGGGAAGCAGGACCTTCTCGATGTCTGTCTTGACCTTGCAGGGGAGACTGACCCCACGAGAGGAGGCTGGCTATGAGTCACAGAGTTCCCTAAATCAGCACCTTAAGTATTAGGTCATCTGGGAAGTCATGAGGTATTTTCCTACATTTTTTTCTATGCAAAAATGTGTCATGACTTTCCTGACAACGCAGTAGGTATTGTCTGTCATCCCTGAGCAGAGCCGTTCTGGGGAACTGGCTCCTTCTGAATCAAGCTGGAGAAGTTTCATTGTCCCCTTAGTCCCTGAGCTGCCCAGCTTCCTCCTTTGCCTTTTCCTTCTCCTGAAACTTTGGAACCGACAGGGAAGAGGAGAGATTGATGGCGCAGAGCTGGGGACTGCCTAGCCAGTTTGTGTACACAGCCTATATTGGTTTGAACTAACAAAGTTTATCAACCAGGCAACCAGGAGTCATTAATCATGCAGAAAAATAACACAGCGAAATGACTTTTCAAAATGCCGTTGGTATAATTATCATCTTGCCCATTACACTAAATGCCACCATTTATATCTGTGATACTTAAGTATGCAAACAGTAATTAACGTGGTAATGAACTGGGGGCCCCAGAGCCTCCCCTCCCCGAGCTAATTTGCATGTTAATTATCATTAGCAACCAGGGAAACAAGTTATAAACAGCCTAATTAGCAGCCGGATCATTTTTACAAGAAATTGCATGCACTTTGACACATGAGCAAGTATGAGATTAATGAAGTCAGAAGAGGCTGCCCCTCCTGCAGGGGGTGGTGGTGGGGGAGTCCGCAGTGCTGCGGCCTCTGTGTTCGCGGTGATGCCCATCAGCAGGTGCTGTTAGGGGTTGGCGCCGTGGCCTAGCCTGGTACTGATGAGGCCGTAGTCTCAGGCCGACCCTGAATGCCACTGGGACATGGACTTCTTTTTCCTGCTTGGGGTTATGGTCTCAGGATGGACAGGAAGACTTGGGAATCTGGCCTGGGTTGGGCGAGACCAGGGAAGAGC